CAGAAACTTGGTGCTTATTAATATGGACAGGCAAGTTGTTCCAACTTCTCTCATTTGTGACACCAACAGCAAAGAGTCACTGGAAGTCATTCCTGAGGGACAAACTTTATTTTTCATTACCCCACAGCCTTCTCCATTATCCTCATTCTTTCATAAAACACCACTATCTGCAAAATAATGACTCCTTTCAAATTTCATCGTAGCTGTCAAGATATTAAAATTATGTTAAACTAGTGCAGATACATAGCCCTCAAAACCAAAACAGAAGGGCTGAATTTGTAGCATTTTCCACTATCTGTGGTGTAAATACTTCCAAGTATAGTTGACTTTAAGCTCCTAAGAGTTTAACAATGGCCTGGCAGAATCAATAAATACACACCAGTCAGCTGATTCTAGTTGGCTCCTTACTAACTGAAGCACACTTTTTTGAGTTCCCTGTAAGTCTCTGTTTTCCAACAAATCCTAATGGGAAAAGGGTTTTGACTTCTCAGCAGATCTGTGGTAACTTGTGATATGTAGCTCCTTGGCTTTTCTGGAGTACAGTAGCTGCAACTCAACCACACATGGGTGGTCAGAGAAGACCCAGGGAGGACAGCTTCCCGAGGGGCCTCTCCCTGGAGCCAGTGTCTCATTCATTAAACTGTTGCTATGGAAAGTTTATAGGGCAATGGTTAAGGCTGTATTCTGTTTCTCTGTTTAAACCTTTCTATTTTTGCATAAAAGGAAGGGAAGGTTTTTTTTTTCTGAGTTATATTTATACTTCCCAAATCAGAAAATGTCCTAACCAGATAGGAGGACAGGTGGCATCAGCAACCACAGCTCAAAACCTGTTTTTTTTTTTTTCCATTTCTTTCTGAAACCCCCCTATAGAAGGAAAATTAACAAAATGTCGGTTGGTTGTTTTGTACACAGAGCTAACAATTCTTTCAACTCAGAGAAAGAAAAGCAGAAAATAGGATTGAGACCAAAAGTTAGAAACAGAAAATGGTATGTATCTACTTACTCTGGAGCAGTTTTATTTTCCTAAAACAATGATGTACAATGTGATCCTGAATCTAAGTTGTCAGAACAAAATGAAGGTGAGATTAATACTGTTTCTGTTTATAAAAACAAAACCACTTCCCATAGTGAACCTACACCTTTGAGACTATGAAGTAAAAAGTCATATCTTGGTGGGAATGGTGAAGATGGGAGTTTTTCAACTTTTTTTCTGGTCCAATTTTTCTAATTATTTTTAGCTCATCTACAAGGTTCTGGAACATTACTGACAACAGTAAGAAGTCTGAATTTGCAAAGTTCTTATGTGTGGGAGATGTTGGGGGAAAGTAAGGATGACACGTATTGGCTAAATGGTGGAGATGGCAGAGCGTCACGGTGACCTGGGTGAGATGGCAGTATTGTCAGTATTATGGATATGAGTGGCTAAGAATCCTACAGTGGGAGGGACAATCTCTCATAGAAGGCTCCATTGTCTCAAATGCTGGTCATGCCCATTGAGAAACAGTGACCTGAAATTATCAAGATGATGGACAGCAGATACCGTCCTGTTTCCTCCCTCTCAACTTCAAGTTCCCTCTCCTGCCCTCCACTTCCTTTTGCCTGCCTTTCTTTAAGAAAGCGCCACTACCCGTCATCCCATCTATTCACTTCTATTCACATTTATGGGACATTCTCCTTTGCTAAGGGATGCCAGGTGCTGGGGACACAACAGAGCACAAATCAGAACTGAGTTCTTCATCTATAGGTGTGATATGTGCTTCCAGAAGAAAATGAAGGTGGGATAAGGTTACAGAGTGAGAGAGTGCTGTCAGACCATGTGGTCTGGGAAGCCCTCTCTCAACTGGGGCATCCCAGAGTGAGGGGAGCAGGATGTCATGGGAACAGGGGTAGATGCCACCACACCTAGCCATTAGGTAATGATCCTTGTCTGCCCTGGGACTCCTCTTGGATTCTTAGATTGTAATCCCTTCTTTTCCACTAAGTTTCATTCTATAGGGCGTCAAATATATTTAAATATTCTCCTAAAGGATGGGTCTGTAAATCCTACCCCTCTTCCTCAACTCCCTCAGCTTACTTCCTTTCCCTCTTTCTTTCTTCCCTAATCACTTCATCATCCCCAGGGGTTGCCCTCCTATCTTCACCCACTCACCAGTTCACTCTTCTTGGCAGTCTGGCTTATGCCTGCACCCCTGTTGAGTTACTTTTGGGAAATGCACCAGAGACCCCCCACTTCCTGCCCCCCGGCAAGACCTCCTGGGAGGGCACACCCTTTGATTGTCCTCATCTCAGTGAACATCTCTTTCTCATGGCTTCCATGTCATATTTCTTTCAGGAACTTGCACCTGAACCAATTTTATCTGAACTCATTCTCTGCATTCTTTACTTTCTCTTCTAGATAATTAAAGGTTATTCTTCCCTAAGGCTCTCAGTGTTCCTGACATTTCTCTCCACTGTCCCTCCCTAACTGATGTCACCCCACACTGAAAGGACTTCTGCCTCTTACACCCCTGCATGCCAGAAAGTTCCTTGGCTGAGACCCATCCTTGGCTCTCACCTTAATCCCAACTCTGTGAATATCAATATTGCTTTTGCTCAATAGAATCCTTAGCATCCCAATCACCATGGTTGAAGCTACGGTCACTTCATCCCTCTATCCATAAAAGTAAGTTGACAATCACTGCCTCTCCCTGCCCCCTCTTTCTGTCCCACTACAACCTTCCGGCACACACTCACATGATTTCTCCTTGGGATCAGAGGCGTTAATGGTTTCACGCTGTTATCTGTCACAAGAGTGATCTAACCCATAGCTCTCCAAGGGTTGTCCCCTAGCTCAACACCTTTGGAGGGTCTCCTTTGGACACCCTTCTGCACACTCCAGAGCAAGCTACTTCTGTGCGTTTGCTCCTTTCCCCACTCTTCCTTAAACTCAAAATGTTTTTGGCTTTCATGCCCCTACCCAAACTTCAACTGCTCTGTAAATCTCCCCCCATCCTATGCTGCCACCTGCCAGTCCAGTTGGGAACAATCCTTCCTTGTCTACATTCTTGAGGAAACACCTTTACTTCTGGTGAGTTTGGTTGTGCATATGTATACAGCCACAATTCTCCAGCCCTTAGCTCTGGAGATCAACAAGGCAGTGGCTCTCCAAGTACTACTGGGATTTCCTCATTTCTGGAAGGCCAGAGAAATGAAAACTGGAACCAATCTCAGCGATCTAAGGACATCTACACACACCCAAAAGTAAATGCAGCAGGGAAGGCAGGGCAGTAGAGGATAGAGCAGTGTCTTTGGGTCAGACACTGAAGAACTTTCAGGGCTTTGTGGTCACCAACCCCCAAATACGAGGAAGCAGGGACATGGTGGCCTTTGCAGGGAGGGACCATCCCAAAGTGTGAGTCCATCTTTATGAGCCTCTCTATCAGCACACTTGTCTACTCTCTGTCCCCAACTGGGCCAGGAAGGGCCTGCCAGACTCTTCCTGATTCAGGTGCTGTTCAGATGTGAAGCTTGCTGTATCCTTTCACAGATTCTGTGGGTCCTGCCAGACTGCCCTTGGCTACCCTCCATGCTATGACTGAGGGATGGCTTGTTTCAGGTTAGGCTCAGTGTGTGAGGTTAGGCTCAGACTCTGTCTGAGTCACCTGTTAACAGGAGTCTCAAAGGCACATATCACGCAGGGCCAGATGACTTAGAATGCCTGACATCAGGAACACCATGGTGAACACAGTGACCATGTCAACAGCAGTGACCAGGATGGTCATCTGTGCTGTGTTCCACCTCAGAGTGGGCCTGAAATGTACTATAGCCTTGGGTGAGGTGACTCCCACCTCCCAGGTGCAGCGATAGCCCAAAGCCACAGCCAGCGCTAACAAACTAGGACCCAACAGAGCCAGGGCCCTAACTATAAAGTGAATGGACAGAGCTGGATTCTCCAAGAGGACACAGCTGTGGTCTCTTGTCAACTCTTTCTCTGTCTCTGTCTCTCTCTCTCTCTCACAGACATACACAGACACACACCACACACACACCACACATGCACATAAAAACACTCAGGCCCTATACACACAAATATACATTCTACCACCACATTCATATACACACTACAGAAATGCACATACCACAGACAAACACACATTCCACACACATACCACACCACACACACACCCCATACCATACACATGCACACCACAAACACACCATACACCGTATGTGTACACACACACACACACATGTATATATATATATATATATATATATATACACTACCTTCCGGGTATGTGTATGCACATGCAAGATACCTCATGCACATATAAGCAAACAGGCAGTTGTGCACGTCTAGTACACACGTACCTACACAATATACCCAATCATGCATACACATGCACACATGACACATACAAACCATGCACACATAAGCAAACACACACACACACACACACACACACACACATCAGTTTCCAAGGACGTCCTTAACCCTTGCTGCCTGCTCTCAGAAGAAGCCAGCACTGGAATGGCACTTGATACAGCCCCATGTCCCTCACTCTAAGCTCTACTGTATCCAAACTGTGAGGACACTCAGAAGAGCACTGTGATTCCCAAACCTTTTGCACCAACTGAGAGATTGGGGTAATAAAAACCCAAGAGGCAACAGTGGAAAGTTTGTGACTTAAAATTCTCTTTGAAGTGGGAAGCAGTGCACCTGCCACAGAAGAGGCTCTGTGGCCAAATGTGGAAAGACCCAGAGGGTGGGAGAATCATTGTTGCAATGCTGTTATTTCATGTTTTGGAAAATTCATGAAAAAGGAACACTTTCCAACTGATTGGGATATATCCACGGTGACAATACTTGCTGCCTTGACAAGACATTCCCAGATAGAGACAATAAATTGCAAAATGGATGATACAGAATTTAAAATATGTGCCCCATTGAAACCATAGCTCAAAAGCATTCAACTAAGAATCCAAATGATAAGCTTTTGGTTGGTAATCCCTCAAAGAAGAAGAAGAAAAAAAAAAAACAACCAACCAAACCAAGACACCAGCCGCACCAAGTTGGGCAAACAGCTCTGTTTGCAACCTCTTTCACATCTGAACACTCCTGGGTTCAGCTGCAGCTCCTGCTCAGATACTGCTAGATAATGTCTCCCCAGAGCTAAAATGGGGTTTATCGGTTCAGAAGAGATGCATTTCACAGATAAAAACAACTTCCTCTAGCTGCTGATTAGATAAGCAGGCTCACATCCGTACTCAAAACCTGGGCTGCCCAATCTCCAACGAGCCCACTTTCTCTTCCCATCCTGAATGACTCTCCAGTCCCTCTTCCCTCTCCCAGGTTAGAGAAGCCATAGCCACTGTCCACCCCAGGATCACCCCCTCGTCTCCTGCCTCAAACTTTAAAATGAAGGGAGCATTTGGCAACTAGTTGAAAGGATCCTCTTACAATTCCCACCTTAGTAGTCCTGAGACTCATGACTGAGTCAAGGTTTTTCATTTCAATGGAACGAATCAAAAAAGCAAGATTTATGTGATTACATGATCATTTTTTCCTAGATTCCCAGGGAAAGGGAATATACAGATTATTTTTCTACTTTTAAAAAAAAATTTTGCCAGAGAGAATCAAACCTTGGTCAAAGTATATACCAAGAAGGGACAAAATTGTATTGATTTAGCTTCTATCTCTTGGAGTTGTGTGTCTCTGAACATGTCTGTGAGAGATCTCAGAGGAAATGGGTTTTCTCCTCAAGACTGTGGAAGGTCACCTAAGTCAGCAAACCCAAAGAAGAACATTCTAGAACGTAATGGGGCCATATATAAAAATATGTTCTCCCCACTTCAAACTCACATTTCCTTCCGCACAAGATTGGCCCAACCTTGGTCCAATCTTGATTGGTCGACTAAGTGACTCCAGCCCCACTCTACCTCATATCTTCTCATTCTACCACCCCATGCTTGTGTAATTCATGTTTGTAATTTAGCCCTGGAGCTTCTGCCCCTGGATTTTTCCCTTGGATTCTACCCTAAACTCTTCAACTGCCTGGCATCCTTCTCAGGGGTAGTCAGCCCCAAATCTTTCCTCTCCATCCCCTGGCCTTTCCTTTTCAGTAGGCTCCAGTCCACCAACCCTGCTTCCTGGCCATTTGCATTCATGGGCAGAGCAGAGCTTAGGGAGTTCTCCTGAGTCAGGAAGCAGCCCAGGCCATGGCCACAGCCCCCAGCTCGCCACGTTGGAAGGTAAACCTAGACCTGTGTACTTGACAGTAGAAGTCTAGGGACTGAGGACCCTTGATTCATGCTAGGGCATGGAAGTGAGTATGAAGAAAGAAAGCAAGAGAGTGAAGGCAAGAACTCATGACAGAAGAACCCATGAAGAATTCTTGAGGAAAGGAAGAAAATAACAAGGTTTTTGTTTTCTTGTAAAAACTCCTGCCTGCTCTGTGGACTCCAATCCTGACACAGTCCCTCAGGACAGGTCAACAGGCTCTGGTCAAGAATTCTCAAGCCAATCCCAGTCCACTTTTCACTTCTCCACGTGTGTGCTCTGGTGACTGAGTAAACTTGGGGTTCCCTTAAGAGGTCACTGAGTATTTTCCCCAGCTTCAAATAGTTTCAGACACAACCACTTCAGAGAGCTGAGAATTCTCAGCTTTTAAAGAGAGTTGAAGAGTCTCTCAGGGTTTTAAAGAGACCACTTCAGAAGAATGAGCTACAGTTTCATTTAGTAGACTGTGGTGATGACTGAAGCTCTCTTAGCCAGAAAGTTCTCCTTTGCATCTAACTTAAATTGTTCAAGCTATACTTCAAATCCTTTGTTTCTGCTTATTCAGACCTAGAAGAAAATGCTGGGTAAGCAAGAACTCTCTCCTGCTCTGCCTTCAGGCTGTCACCTGATTCTCCTTATTTATACAGAGACCTGTTGGTGTCCCTTTTACACTCCTTTGTAAAGTAACGAGGTGTGAAGCCATTGCTTTTCTCATTCTGGGAATGACACACCAGCTACCCTACTAATTTGTGGTCTGTGCTTGTTTAGATTCTTGTCAAACTGAATGATACCACTGGCAAAATGGCTCACAGCTTTTCAAAATCATCCTCTCTTTTTAAAATGGTAATCCCTGCTGTCTATTATGACCAAATATTCTCCTGTCTTTTCCCACCTTTTGCCTCTCTCATTTCTCCTTGAACTATCCAACAGTATTATCAGCTAGAATCCTTGGCTTGAACTTGGATCTGATGGCAGTTAGTACCCTTAATCTTTCCTTTGGTCTTGCCCTATTCTAACTAATTCCTCTCTTTTCTGGCTGTCTTCAGCTTGCTTATTTTATGGATTAATTTTTTTAATTAATAAATTCCTCTTCTATCCTTGGTGTTACAGTGTTATCTACTGTCCCCTTTCTCAACTGACGCTATAACAGGTTCCTTCATTCTCTTCAATCTGAAAGATTATTGAGTTGCACAAGTTGTGTTCTTTTCCTGCCTGTTATACTTTGCCTTTCCTATTCTGTCTGTAGCAAAGCGTGTGCATGTTTTTTTCGTTTAACCCACCAAGCCACTCTGGGACACGTTTAGTTGTTCTTGTCCCCTTAAAATGAGGAAGCTAAGCTCACAGAGGAAAAGCATTGCCCTGAGGCTCACGGCCAGGGAGAAGGGTCTTCAACTTGTTCCTTTTAAGATACACTTCCCACCCCTGCCAGGCCACCACCCCTTTCACCTACCCTATATTTCAACAATGCCTCTTGCCTTACACTTCTGTCCCAAAGGAAGGGTTTCTTTTCATTTCTGTCCTTCATCTTTTCACACTCTGTTGTCCTAATGACCCACTCCCATGAAATAACTTGATGAAATATGACATGGAATTTATTTCCTTTAATCTATGGATTCCCTTGCCAGTTTATATTATTTCCTAAAGTTATCTACACCATTTATTTAACGTTATACACTACAAATTACCTTACCAGACAACCTCTTACACATACTGAAGCTATTGGATTTCCTTCCAGAACCACAGTGATTCTGTGTGATTGTCATGTGCGGTGGCTTCCCTGGATGCCCGTTTCTCCTGGTGGGTCCTCTAGGGCCCTAAACCCCCAATCCTGGCTTCCTCTCCCCAACTCTCTCTTGCCTGGTGTCTGGTTTACCATCTGGGCTTCTGTACTCTGCTTTCCTGGCTTTGAGAAATTGCTACTTTGGTCTCTAGTCACCCACTAGAAGCTTTGCCCATGTCAAACAGCTTTGCCAGCCTGTCCCCAGGGCCACATCAACTGCTATTGTCAAAGCAAGTAAAGGCATTTTCTGGGATTACTAAATTTCAGAATTTTAAAATTCTTATTTTCTAAACCTCACCCTAAAAGGAAAAGTGCGCTGAAAATCATATTACGTGTGACAAGGGGCAGAGAGGGGAACTCTCAAGAAACGATGAGCTCACCCTAATGCCAAGGGACATCACACTGGGTACATCAGGGACTGAGAACTGGACTCTGAATACAGGGGACACACAGTCCAGGGAACCAGTCAGCAATGCAGCCAAGGCTGATCTTCAGCCAGCAATCACCCACACTGGAACTTCAAGGGGATGAGGTACGTAGGGCATTTTGCTGGGACTTATAACAATATACTGTGTGCTCTTCTCTGCCCTTAGGAATCAGCCTGACTTTCAGTTCTCTAAAGGATGCTCACACCAGGAGGATTCCACAGTGGCCTCTCAGCAGCTGCAGGGACTTCAGTGTGAGCCCTTTACATTCTTCACAAGGACAGAGCTAGCTTCCCAATCTTTAAGTCTGGGCTCTAACGTGTTAGTCACAGGGTCAATGGATAATCGTTTTGGCTCCTGCTTCCAGAGCTCTTTGTTTTGCTATGGGCATATGTTTACATCCCTGTTAAGTGAAAAAACAATACCCATTGCAATAGGTACTTCAGGGACCAAACCAATGAGGTAACCACCACGTTAGCTGCTCATGTGTCACCTTTGCATTTTTTTTTTACCATTTTATACCACTATTGACTTACTGTTTTTATGTAAATTGACATTTTATCAATAAATAGGTGTGTTTCAAAAGGAAGTTGTGTAGCAGCACAGCATATGGTAAAACCAAGATGCCTTGCAAGAAACAGAAGATAATCTTAGAAATAAACACATCAATTAAAATAAAGCATGGTTGATCATCTGAATCTTTGGGAAACCCTAAAATGATGTCTATGACCCTGTTCTCATAGAATAGAGGGAATGATACCCAGGTGTTATTTTTCTACCCATTCATCTTCCCACATAGACTAGCCACTTCCTGATAGGGAGTTATAACTAGTAAATATACTTGTTCTTTGGGTTCATTTACAGCAAATGGGTTAGCCACTGTCCTTCTTGGTTTATGTCATTAATTATATTTGATAAATGAAAAAAATTTAAGAGAACTGTTATACCCAAAGTGAGCTTTGTTTTTAAGCTGAACATATAAAATATTCCTAATGATTGTACCAGGATGTCCTACAGGAAGACTGGCCATAGTGCTTATGTGGCTGACTCACACTGATCCATTCTACCTCTTGGGACCTGGGTATCCTGTATGAAACTCTTTTATGTAAATAAGTGCTCTCAATATCACAGCTTTATCTTTTTTCTTAAAGTAGATATTCCAAGGAATTAATGACTCATTAGCTCATGAGAACATGGCACGGTGGAGTGTAAAAACTGGTTTTTGAGTCAAAAATTGAGTTTAATTCTGACTCTACCACTTGATGTTGGTTAATTCACTCACTTTCCCTGGGCCTTTGTTTTCTTGTAATGAAAAAGTGTGGAAAGTTCTTCTAAACATGAATGGTAGGTAGATTGTATAAGCTAACCAGTGAAGTGATTTTTGGATCACTCCCATTCTTTACAAATAGGTGGATAAATGTTTGATAACTTGGATAATCTAGATTTTTCTGTAACATTAAAAATTCCCATTTGTCTTTTTATTTGCCAAACATTTACTAGTTTTTCATATCATTGAATCATTTCAACAAGAATGTCGCCAAGGTAGTATCAGGACTGAAAGGATTATGGTCCGATGAGTCTTCTATTTAAGATCTGGAGAGTAAAGGGCTAACTTAAACAGCCAGCTAAGGCTTCTCTTAACTAACACAAAGCTCAAAAGAAAAGTCACCCTCTTGTCACATACACAAAATGTACCAATTTCAATCTCTAAGGAAAATTCATAAAATCTGGTATTCTTGCAAGTGGTCTGAGGATGGAGGGAGAGATGGAGATGTACCCCATGCCAGGTGATTCTCCCCCTGCCTCTCTTGCTAGCCCATGAGTGTTCCTCTTTCATACATGAGGACCATGAGCTGCCCACCTCTGCACCATATTTCCTTAAGGTGATGACTGAGGGAAACAGTTAATAAAATGCCTCACATCTTTTAATCACAGCATTGGAAAGACATAAGGAGATAGCAGTTTCATGGGAAGAGAGTGGGTGACAACCTATAGATCCCCAGAATGGCCCCACTTACCCATTCCACGCTCACTCTTGGAATTCTGTTGTCCTCCAGAGGTGGTGGAAAGGTCTTCAGGGACAGGCATGGGTTCATCTCCATCATCTGGAGTATCACTGACTGGGGGACTCTCCTTCCCTACAGAGACAGATGGAAGCAAGAGGTTAGGATGGTTGTCAACAGCCACTGGGAAGCCAGCATGCTTGGGCCTCACTTCAATGGTGCAAAAGGGCCATGTGAAGAGGTGGTAACTGGACTGAGTTAAGCTTCTCTGTTGAGACCAACACACATTTTTCTTTCTTTAAATGAATTCCATTGCCTTTTCCCATAACACAAACATGAGAGAACAAAAGAAAAAAAAATACCTGCAATCCCAGAGCCCTACTATTAAAATTATGGTGTATATATATGCACATATTTAAACGTTATAGATAATATTCAATAATATTTTGTTTTTCAAAATAAGCTAGTTTTTAGACATTGTCATAGACATATTTTTGTGCCAGGGACCATACTTCCACAATTTCACTTATGATGGGTACATAAGGATATATTTCAGTGCAGAACCTGTATTGTTTCCCAGCTTTTTTTGTGTTTTAAATGACTAAACAACACTGCAATGAACATCTTACTAGCCAAATCTTTGTACGTATTCTTAACAATCACCATCATAAAAATCATTGGAAGTTTTATGACTGGGTCCAAAAGCATCTGTGCAGGGCTCTCACTATGTTTTGATGAATTTTCTTCTTGTATGGAAGTTGCTTTTTAAAACCTACTTCACCTACCCACATGTTGGTTTGTTCTTCAGGATATTGACAGGCACCCTGTGCAAAGCTACACAGGCCGGATCTGTTCACTTTCAGGAGCCAGGGACTATTTCGCCAGTTGCCCAGTTTTATCTAACCTGGTAGGGAAAAGCTTCTTGGGGTGGGATGGAAGGAACCCCATGCCTACTGGAGAAAATAATTTCTTTCCTGAATGCAAAGAAATTTCATCACCATGACTTCTGTTTGAAATAGGAATAAAATACAGTCCACACATATCAAAATTTGCTTATTCTTCACAAAGTAGGATTTACCAAATTGAGTTTTACAGGCTGCCATCTTATTTTGAATGGATTAGGATTAAGTTTGACCAGTGCCTCTAGGGATGGGGAATGCTTTCTTACTCTGAAGCATCCAACACTGAGAAGACATAACTGCTACAATGTGCTCCTACCCCATGGAAGTTGAATCTTTCCCTAGCTTCCACCCTTCCAGAGCTAACCTACGCTTGAGTTGGGAGACAAACCACATGCAAGACACAGCTAGTGAGGACCTAAGTCCTCACAATGCAGACCAACCCTTTCTGGCTGCTTGAAGAAGTCCCACAAAGCAGCAGTGGAATAATGGTTTTCAAACTTTAAAGAATTTAGGGAGATCATCAAGGGAATTTGTCTTTTTTGGTAAGAAGAACAAAATAATCTTACACAGAACTTTTATAAAAAAGATCTTTTCTATATAAAGTAGGGACATAGCAGGGTGGGGAGGCTGAACCATCAGAGACCCAGGCTACTTTCCTTCTCAAAGACATGTTTGTGCCTGCCAAGCTGGCAACTTGGCTTAAGAGGCAAGAGGATATTCCCCAAACTTTAAGGAGAGTGTATAAATGACAAATCAGATGGTAAAATGTCTAAAAAAATTATAAGGAATGGTGTGACATTTCTTTGTTGGTTTGAATAAACCTCCCACAAGAATTACACCAACATTTTAGAGGACTGGCAGTAAAATCACCCCCAATATATGAAGCAACCTTTACTGTAATCTTTAAAATAGAATCTGTCCAGGCACCAGTGATGTGCTTTGGGGAATAGTATTACATTCGGTAGGAAACAGACATCACGATGTAATATTCCAGCTTAGCTGTAATTAGCGCAATTGGCATATTTTCAGAAAGAGCATTATTGGGTATATTTGGATAGCCAATACAAGATGAATAGTTAAAGATGGGGTAGGATTATAAGAATTTCCCAAGGAAAAACAAAAGGCCAGAGAGAAATTGATTGAAAGTGCTCATGTTATGCTCAAGGGTTGGACACATGCATTAAGTCAGTACCTGATTCAATTGCTCTAAATAGAAGACCTTAATAGTAACAGTAGCTGAATGTCTTAGTATTATTTTTTCACCTCTTTCATAAGTGGGGAAAAATCTGAATTAGAGGATGAAGGAAATATATGCACCGTTTGACAACTCTTACTTTCACATAAGATGAAGGTCTAGAATGTTTCTTAAACTTTGAGGACTTTCGGGAGGTAGAGCAATTTTTCTTTTTGGTAAGAATAGCAAAATAATCTTACACAAAACTTTTATCTAAAAAAAGTTCTTCTATATAAAGCAGGGACACTGCAGGCTGGGGAGACCCAAGCCACTTGTATCCTCCAAGCTCCATGATGTGCCTCCATGGAGATGACAGTGGAGCCCTCGGCAGTGGAACCCTGGCCTAAGAAGCTGGCCCATGGCTCAATGTGTATAGGGTGTGCATTCAGGATGTACACATATGTCCCTGTGATTAACCAGCTGTCACTATTATGGAGTAAGGCATGGAAGACTAACAAATTAAGCTTTTTTTTGACTTATTTTCTTATTATGATCCTTCCTACAATAACTTTGGAGTCCTCCATGATGCTCTAGGCCCATATGGATGTTGTGGCATGAGAGCCCAGGGAAGAATCTTAAAAGATCGGGACTTAGTCAATGAAGGGATGTCATACTTTTGGCTCAATTCATATGAAAATGCATCCAAATAACTCTCAATCATGTGTTTTTAAAATATAAATGATCTATCTCTTAGGGATCAATATCAACCTCAGATAATAGAGAGTGTTCATAATAACAGATGTGTAAGAATTACATCGGTCTTGAGTTCTGCCCCTAAAATGCCACTCTCCTGTGTTCTTGATCTTAAATCTTGGCACTTTTATTTTAATCTACATAGGAGAAAAGTAATGGAAACAGTAGGGATTGTGATTCTAAAATACTGTGGATCAGATTGATCAGCAGGAGCTCTCAAAGCAGAAGAAACCACACGGGCTAAAGGGGAATAAGAAATTACTCTCAGTGTGTACAGGAACATGGAGTTAAAAAGTCAGAACCGGAAGGAACAATGTTGGATGTATTCATGTGCCGTCAGAGCTCAGTCTCAATTCAATCCTGCCTAGCCTTGGCTCACTGATGGTTTTTAAAAGATCCTCTGATTTGCCTAAAAGCGCCCCCACCCAGTGTGAGTCGTGGTTGCTGGGATGTTAATCACTCAGGTGAGCGTCTGTGCCCAGGGACTCTTGTATTCTTTCACGTGGAAGACTTCCAAGAGGAAAGTTTACTGCTTTATGAAAACCTTCACGATTGGCAAAATAGTCTTACAAATTCACTTTCAACACATCTTCCCCCTTAACCATCCTAAATGCAAAACCATGCAAAGATGATAAAAGAATAATAAAGATGATAAAAAAATAAAAAATTAAGTCAACAGATCCCAAAGAAGAACACACTGTGACGAGGAGGTATTTGATCTGGGATATAGCTCTGGTTTGACCAAATGTAAGACTGATGGAAACATGGAAAGGGTCACATCTTTAGAACCCTTTCCTCAAGCAGAAAAGGAGGCTAAAAACTACAATTTTATTGTAGTTCTAACAGTCGTGTTGAAAACAAAAATAACAACGATTGCAAATTCTGATATGCTAAATAAGTTTATGGTATTATTTGGTAACTTGAAACATACTACAGACATACATGTCTTAGGGAAAGTTCCCACCTTTCCCTAACAGTATACACAGTGAGTGACATGCAAACACAAAACGCTATTGACTGAAAGGCAGTAAGTACTAAAGGTAAATGGAATCATTTAGGAGATGTGTTAAAATTTCACTTATTTGGAAAAATTAGAGAAACTTTTGGTTAAATTATAAACACTAATTCTATTTGATTTATCTATTACCTGTGTTATAAATAAAGCATTGCATATAAGAAGTTTTTATGGGCAAATTAGATGAGAAATTGAATTATTAGCTTATCAACTACAAGCAAATGAATTCTCAAGTCAATTACAATTCACCCAACAAAGTTCTGGAATTCTGCCCTCCCAAATGCATCAGTTTCAGTATATAGAATTACCCAACAGTATAATTCCTAGGTCAAATAACAGTTCAGAATACAGAACTTCCACTCTGTTACAGAAGAATGAGACACTTGAAGTCTAGGGCTCAAATGGCTCATACTCTATAGTCACCTCCAGCTTGCTATGGGACCTTTGGTCAGTTAGTTAAATTATCTGAGTCTCAGTTTCCTATAATTTGGAGATAACTGTATCCTCTTCAGTGAGTCTTTAAAGGTGGAAATGAAAAAAAATGCTTAGGGCAGTGTTTAGTTAATGTAAGAGTTCAATCAAAGTGATTTACTATAATTAACTAGATAAAATATTTCCACTGTTATTTAATATATATGAGGCTCTTTCCCTAAGCTGATTGTGTATGCCTACAGACTTACTTCTTGTGTCTATGTTCCAACAAACACATTACAAATAACATTAAGACAATATCCAATACAGAGTTAGGTTATAGGAGCCAGAGGATCTTAGTGACCACCTGGCTCAAGTCCCTGCTGCTCCAGAAGACACACAGTGGTCCAGGAGGCAGAGGTAACTGTGGCAGCCCCCACTGCTGGACCAGAGAGGGATGCTGAGATTTCCTATCAATTCCCAAGCCTCTCACTCTCCCGCAGACCCTTCAGAAACCAAACTAAAAGATAATACACAAGCATAACTAGTATTTTGGAAAGAATGCTAAAAAAGAGGGAGAAAACAGTCTTATCCAAAGAATTGGTGACATGTACTGCAAAGGAAAGGAGAGATTGCTTTAGTTCTATTTCCTTCATGCCTGTCAATACATCTTCCCAACTCATGGAGTCAAGTTAGTAAACCCTTATTGAGTGTCTATTTATCTATAAGACATTGTAAACTAGGGTACATTCCCAATTTTGGATAAATGCCTGGGAAGAAAGAACTGAGGGTTTGAAAAAGGCAGTTATTGAATATTTCTGTTTTTCAAGTATCTCATATATATTAAGTGGAATCATATGAACTTTCTGGTATTTGAATATTTAATAAAATGCATACATATAGTGAGAGAGAGAACAAAATTGTATTAGTGAGTCAGTCTAAGAGGACTATGGGAGGTGGAAGAGAGAAAGACTGTTAGAAATGAATGAAAAATATTGAAAACAAAAAATATTGAAACAACCCATCTATATATGAATGTAATATAATGGACTGTACAGTAAACTGTTGAATATTAGGGGATCATGATGACAGAGAATGAGTAAGTATTGGGGGAGGTGTGAATTTGATTAAAGCATAATATGTACAGATCTGAAGTCTGAAACTCCTTTGGACTATCAAAATACACTTAGAAATAAAATGAAGGGCAGGAGAAAATAACAGGTCTTTTCCAGGGGTGGGTACCAGTGGGAAGGGGTGGGCATAAGAGAAGAGGGAATAAGGGTGCAAATACTGTGTACTCATGTATGAAAGTGGAAAAATGAGACTTGTTGAAACTATGCCAGGAATGGGGAGAAGGGGAAAGGAAAGCAGGGGAGGGGGTGAATTCAACTGTGATATATTATAAGCGCTTTTGTAAATGTCACAATATACACCCAGTACAGCAATAATGATTTAAAAAAATATCAACTCTTGATTGGCTGAATGTACATCTTTACCCCATAACTAGCTACTGTTTCCCCAGGATTAGAGATGAAAAAAAAAAACCAAACATTGATTTTAATTGCAGAAACACCAATCAAACTTGAAAGTATTCTTTACTAAAACTGGCCTAGCTCTTTAAATGCTCTGAGCACTGTTAGAGTGCTCAAGGTTTAACATAATTCCAAAGTGCTTTTGGGTTTAGAAATGGTACTTCCTTTGCTAAGGGCATACAAACTAAATTTCAGACCACATTTTTTTCAAACAAAAAAAAAGCGGGGGTGATTCCTTTTCCTGGAAGTATTGTGTCATGAGCTTCCCTTCTTCCTGCCCCTACCCTCCCAGCCATCCTCTCTTTAAACAGATCCCAGAACAAACTAAGCATAATGTTAAGAACAAGAAAACTATCAGAGGAAAATGAGTCTTTTGTTAGCTTTGTTATCAAGTGGTGAGATAGAATACTGACTGACAGTTCCTTATAGGAAGCATTTTAGAGACAGCTCTCTTGGTCAAAGTACTCAGGATCGTGTGTCATTTTTAATTAACATATTAGTATGGTTACATATTTATGTGGTACATTGTGATGTTTCTATTCATGTACACATTGTATAATGATCGAATCATGGTAATTGGTATATCCATCACTTCAAACATTTTTGTGAAGGATTTTTTTCGAGATAGGATCTCTCGAACTATTTGCCTCAGGCTGGCTTCAAACCATGATCCTCCTAATCTCTGCCTCCTGAGTAGCTAGGATTATAGGTGTGAGCCACCTATAATGTAAGTACATTCAAAATCCTCTAGTCTAGCTATTTTAATATACACATTATTGATAATACAGTCACCCTAATGTATAACAGAAAAAGAGTTTATTCTATCTAGCTATAATTTTGTATCCACACTGATCCACTTCTCTCCCTTCCCCTCCCTCCATACTCCCCACTCTTTAGTATCCACCAGTCTCATCTCTACTTCTTTGAGATTAAATATTTAGTTTCCACATACAAGTGAGAGCAGGCTGAATTTCTCTTTCTGCACCTGGCTTATTTGACTTAACACAGTGTCTTTTGGACCTATCTATGTCATCCCAAATGACAGGGGTACACTGATTTTATGGCCAAATAGAATTCTACCAATACACTTTCTTTATTCATTGGTTGATGACTGTTTAGTTTAATTCCATTTCTTGGGTATTGTTTTAACATTAGGATACCAGAGTGTAGATCCCATGTGGAATGAAGGTTTCATTCTCTTTAAATACATCATGCAAAATACCAACCTAGATGCTATCCAAGTTGAAAGCAATTAAAAAAAAGAATACAGAAGCAATCAAAAGAGTTCTCCTGCCATTAGTATTTTTTTTTAACCATTCCAGATTTTGTGACACTTGCATTGCCCCAGCCACAGCAGGTGGACCCAGTGGATGAGATCTTCATTTAATTGTGCTAACTAGACCCTGTTCTCTTGGGCTTCAGGGAGAGGACAGGGAAGGCAAATGTAAGGCTACACTGAGCTAAGTTTTCATTTTCATTGAACTTTTTTTTGTTGTGATATTATTGCTTAAGAAATAGTGCACGCTTTAGGAAAAAAATTCAAATGACACTGAAAAATCAAAAATAAAAGCAAATTCTTTCTCCTCCTCTCCAACTCACTCCCTTCTTTCCACCACTATCCTCTAAGAGGGACTCCAAGTTAATAAACACCACCCCACAAGTGCCCCAAATGTATACACAAGCATATAGAATATGTGTGTGTATGCAACATACATGTATAGAATTTATTTTCTTTTAAAATATGTACTTTCTATTCAAGAATGAATACAGAATTTTTAAACCTGCTGAAATCACCGTAAGAAGGAAACTAAAGTAGAAAGGAGAAAAATAGAGGGGATGAACCAATTTGGGTTACAATACACATATACATGGAAATGTCACAATTAAACTCCTGTATAGCTACCATAAACAAACAAAAATGTCTTTTATCAAAAATGGAGAAAAGGAAGGTAAAACAGGTCCTGTCTGAGGGTTAGTACCAATGGGAGGGGGAGGATATAAGGACAGGGTGTAGGAGGGTGAATATGGTAGAAATATTATGTACTCATGTATGAAAATGGGAAAATGAGACCTGTTGAAACTATCCCAGGAATGAGGGGAAGGGGGGATAAAGTAGAATGATGGATGGGTGAATTTAACTATAATATATTGAAAGAACTTTTGTAAATGTCACAATGTACCCCCAGTACAACAATAACAATAAAAAATAAAATATGGGATCATTCTTTGCATGCCTCTTCAATTTCATATACATGTCAGACTTCTTTCCACAGTTGTACATTCATATCCTCATTTTTAAAGAGCTTATATACAAGTGTATGGATATACCATAGCTATTAAGCATTAATAACAAAACATATGCTTAAATATTTTATGTACTTATGAGTCTATTTTTTCTTCCTTCCTTCCTTCCTTCCCTCCCTCTCTCCTTCCTTTCCTTCTTTTTTTTTTGTTTTTAGAAACATACATAGGTATCACCTATGTATGTAGCCCAGGCTGAACTCAAACTGGTTATGTAACTCAAGCTAGCCTCGAACTCACAATCCTCCTGAGTGCTGGGGTTACAGGTGCACAACACCATGCCTGGCATATTTCTGAGGTAAATTCCTTAAAGTACAGTTGCTAAATTGCAGAACACACACAATTTTAGTTTTCACAGATAATGCCAGAGACCATTTGTCACTTCTCTCAATTGTACATGTTTCATCCTCAGTTGGATGGAACTTGGAATGTATCCATTCTTGAGTGAGTGGCCCCCAGAAGGGTGGCATCACACACTCAGTGTGGGCCCCATCATGAGCACTGACTTAGACCAAACTGGAGAATTCAAGTAAAACCTTCAGAACCCAAGGGACCAGCTCAGCTGAAGCACAGAGGACACTGAGTAACCAGAGTCATGTGGGGGAAGTCAAGTCTCCTGGTTTACCTTCGGAGCTCTAAAACATAAGTGCTGAAAACCCAAAAGTCCAGAATGCCACTGTTGCTTCTGGGTACTTTCTAGATACAGGGCCACCTAAAAATGAACCGTGTACACCTGTGCCCATGGGAATGGTGCAGGTTTTGCTAGATTGGGTGGTGGTCCATCCTCCATATTGTCTCATGGAACATTCTGTGACTTACTGTTATGTTATGCTTCTCCCAATAATGAGTGACTTCTCCACCTCCTGGGTTTCCTAAGATGAGAAGGACTATGTCCAATATGCTTTGAAACAATACATGGCAAGGGAGTCATGTTGTTTCTATACTTAACAAATCCTCAGATATTCTGAATTGGGCCCTACAATCATGTTTTTCAAGCTTTCCTTTTCACTTCTCCTCTTCTTTCTCACTCGTCAATCTCTCTCTTTTTACCTTCTCTCCTTCCTTCCCTCTCTTAAATATCATCTTTGATATGTGTTTGGGTTTTAGGGTTAACCAACCCACCATTGTTTCCCCCCAAAGTACATATATTTAATCTTTTCCAACTTGCTCTCAGATTTAATATTGAAATTAATGTTGGAGGTGTTTTGTGTTCAGGTTCTCAAACTGGGATGATTTGTAAACACTGAAGTAAACATTGATGCAAATTCTTAGTCTTTTCTTTTATAAAGCAGCCCCCTGCCTCTTCATGAGCCAGCAAACACCTTGACTTCTGTCACACAGGTATCACATTAGATCTCACCTGAAACTTGTGACATGTCTTGACTCTCATCAGCGTCCATTGTCCTCAGGTTATCTGAGAAAGAGAGGAAGGGGTTTTAGTTTAA